AATCCCCAGTACAAAGAGACAAACTGAAGAAGTCTTTCCCTAAGCCTTGAAGACTGACTCCACCCTCCTTGTCCATGCCTCCTCTCTGAGTGGGCCTAGATGTGCTGTACAGTAACTGGATACCTACCTACATGACTGTTGGCAGTTGGATATCTGGTGGCCATTCTGTTTTCTTCACTGGTGATGCTACTTTCTTTAAAAACCTGTTTTCTCGCTGGAATTTTTAAAAATTACTTTTTAAACAATTTTGATAGGGCTAAGGTTTCCCTTACAATATATTTTGGAGTATTAGTTTTTCTTAGTTTAGGGATTAAGGGCTTTTCTGACTCACAGGCAGGAACAGGAGGGTCACATATGGGCAAAATTCAGTCCATGGCGTGGACAGAGGCATCCCTGACCTTCACTCTCCCTTATTCTGTGTTCATGCATGAAAATCCCACTCAATCAGTTAATCTCAAGAAAGAAAATCCAATCAGGGTTACATGGGTGGAGATTGGGAATGTGATCAGATTACTTCTATCTGATTGCATGCTAGTCAAAAGGTGGAGTTGTGGGCATGGTCAGGGAGGTCAATAAAAGCTTCTTCAGAGCCAGAGGAGAAACACAAGAGTCCTGGAGCCCAGGAATCCAACCCTGGCATGCTGAGGATCCCAGCCTGGCCCATCTGCCCAGATCCTGTAACTCAGTCACTGCTTTGAGCACTACCATGTTCCCGCCTCATCTGTGCGGAGGCAGGAACAATTTTGTATTTGATTTTTACTTATGCACGAATTTAAGACAGATTTTTCCTCTCAGTGTGATTTTAACTTTATGCTGAACTTTAGTATAAGTTCCACTTTAGTTTATGTTGCTTTCAATTTTCTTTCTTTCTCTCCTTTTGTTCCAGAGATTGAACTCAGGGCACTCAACCACTCAGCCAAATTGCCAGGCCTATTTTTTATTTCATTTAGAGACAGTGTCACACTGAGTTGCTTAGCACATACTCTTCTGAGGCTGGCCTTGAAACTCACTGTGACCCTCCTATCTCAGCTTTCCCAGCTGCTAGAATCACAGGCATTTGCAAAAGGCCCACATCTTCTTCTGTTTTGTTTTTGTTTTTAGTTGAGAGGGACACAACACATTTATGAATCTATCTGTGTATTTGGTGGTGCTGGGGAATAAAGCCAGGGCCTTGTGCATGTGAGGCAAGCACTCTACACACTGAGTTATATCCCCAGTGCATTATTTATTTATTTTTATGTGCTGCTGAGAATCAAACCCAGGGCCTCACACATGCTAGGTGACTGCTTCACTACTGAGTTCCAGCCAAAGCTGCTTTAATATTATTTAACCAAAGAGAATGATTGGAATTCTATATCATTCTAATTATTGTAATTCTGTTATTTGACATTTAAGATATTTACTTTGTGTACCCTTAAAATGAAACTTTATTGCCAGGCAAGATGGCATGTGCCTGTAATCCAATCTGCTCAGGAGGCTGAGGAGGCAGGAGGATTGGTGTTCAAAGCCAGCCTCAGCAACGGTGAGGCCCTAAGCAACTCAGTGAGGCCCTGTATCTAACTAAAATACAAAATATGGCTGGAGATGTGGCTCAGTGGTTGAGTGCTCTGAGTTCAATACCCAGTCCCAGTCCCAAAAATTATACCTTATGGCCTACGTGGTTTTGTAATTTTATTGATTGTTTAAACAAATTACACAAAAGCTTAAAACTATTTCATGCAACACTTCACAGACTCTGTTCTGATCTATTTGTTCTCTTCAACTGCCCCCTAAGGTGGCAGAATCTCTCATAGGTAACAGATATCCATGAGACTCTGTGGTAATTTCCAAATATTTTATAATATGGGCACGTGCTATTATAATGGCTCATTTAATGATTTTAAAATTAAAACTAATGTCACCCAGGCTGTGATTGTGGATCAGCAGTACAGTGCTTGCCTAGCACATGCAGGACCTGGGTTCAATTCTCAGCACCACATAAAAATTTTTAAAAAATAAATAAATAAAGGCATTGTTTTGTGTCCATCTATGGAAAAAAAAAAAAAAAACAAAAACTAATGTCATCCATGTGAGGACATGTCCTTTCCCAGCCATAGCAGTTGCTGAATCTGAGGAGCCTACCACTGCATTAGGTTACATGACACTCCTACTCCCTATATATTAGGACAAAATAATAATCAAAGGCTTTCCCCCATGAGGGTGATGTGAACTTTTAGACTCCCTATACCTCCTTCCCAGTGGCTGGCAATGGATAGGATAGTGGCCTTTTCCCTTGACCATTTTCCAGGATCCTTCTTCTTTCAGACTCACCAGGATGAGCATCCAGTCTCCACCCACGCTGCTGGAACTGGCAGGGCGCAGCCTGCTGAACGACAAGTCCAGGGCCATCCTGGATCTGGAGGACATGCCCATAGAGCTCTTCCCACAACTCTTTGTGGAGACCTTCAGCAGGGGACACACTGAGGTCCTGAAGAAAATGGTGCAGGCCTGGCCCTTCACCTGCCTGCCCCTGGGGGCCCTGATGAGGAAGCCACAGCTGGAGATGATCTGAGTGGCACTGGATGGGCTGGACATGCTGCTTGCCCAGGAGGATCGCCCCAGGTGAGGGGACCCAGGTGACCTGGAAGGGAACACCCTGGGGGTTCAAGGAAAGGACCGGTGGATCCAGGGAGAGTGGGTGTTGAAGGGTGGACCAAGGGCTCCCTACTCTGCCAACAAGGAGGGGTGGAGAGGCCTTGGCCCTGCTGAGCCCCATCTGGGAGGGGCTTCTGGATGTGGAGGTGCTTGTGGCAGCTGTGGTGACCCATGAAGGAGGCTGCACCTGCTTCTAACTCAGCTGGTACAGGTGGGGGCCAGTCATGATTGGAGGGAAGTGGGTGGAGAAAAGTGAGACAGAAGGAAGAGGTGTAGCATGGAGCAGCAGCTGAGAGGTGAAGGAAGGGGATTCAGGGCTGAGACTCTGCTGTCATCCCCATAGGAGGTGGAAACTGCAGGTGCTGGATTTGCGGAATGTTCACCACAACTTCTGAAGGATGTGGTCTGGAGCCATGGTTGATGCCTGCTCATCAGAGGCCATAAAGAAGAATCAAAAATTGAAACATGGTCCAGCAATGGCAGCTAAGCCAAGCTTGAAGGTAGTCATAGACTTGTGCCTCACATAAAGGCACCTGGATGAATTCCAGGCCAACTTGTTCCTGTGGGTCACACGGAGGAGGGACATGGTACACCTGTGTTGCAAGAGGCTGAAGATCTTTGGGAAACCCACCCGCCACACTAGGAAGGTCCTGAGACTGCTGCAGCTGGACTGTGTCCAGAAGGTGGAAGTGCACTGCACCTGGGCAACCTCAACCTTGGCTGCATGTGCTTCTTTCTTGGGCCAGATGAGGAACCTGAGGAAGCTGCTTGTCTCCCAGGTCCGCGTGCCTGCCCACATCTCCCCAGAGGAGCAGGAGCGGCTGCTTGCCCAGCTCACCTCGCAGTTCCTCAGGTTGGACTGCCTGCAGACGTCCTGTGTGGATGCTGTCCTCCTCCTCAAGGGACACCTGGAGCAGGTGCTGGGGTGAGTAAGGGGGGTGAGCATCCTCTGCAGACCAGTATCAGTAAATATGAAAGGGTATCTACTGTGTGCCAGCCACTAACACTCTCATGGTGAACAAGACATAGGAAGGTAAATAACCCCTCATCTGTTCCTTTTGTACCCTGAAGCTCGATCTCCTAACCTGTTTTAGAGCAAAAGGCTAAACCAGGGCCCATGGTCTGGGAAGCATAACTCTGCTTGTAAGGCAGCTGTGGGGGGGACAGAAGCTAGTGAGGGTGGGTGAGGATCCTTTTCTGGGAGGCCTATCCAGCGAAGGTGGTGGGAGACGATGTAGAGGAGAGGGCACTGGCAGAGGGAAGCCCCCACACCTGCACCTTGCAACAGGGAAGCTCTGTGCTCTCCAGTGGGGAGCAGAGGAGCTTCTTCTAATGCCCCCCTGGGGAAGGCTGCTCTGAGCCTCAGATGGTGATTCTGGGGTTGAGGGTGAGGAGCAGGGATGGAGGATACAGGGTGTGAGCCTTGCAGGTGGACAACCACTATGGTTTCCTTCATCTTACCTGGGTTTATCCTTTGTAGATGACTCCCCCTGATCTCCTGTGGACAGAGCTGTGCCCTTCTGCTTGGCAGTGAGGAGGGGAGCCATACAGATGTGCACCCATCTGTTCACAGGAGTGATGGTGAACCTCGCCCTGACATGGGGGTGATGTGAATGACCAGATTCTGCAAAAGGCAGCATCCTAAGTGTGGACCATTTTCAGATGACCAGGGTGACTTTATATTTGGGCCAATTTATCTTCTCCTACCTTGACATTGCTCCTCAGAACTAACTGCCTGGTTTCTCCTTAGGCACCTGAAGACCCCCCTGAAGACTCTCTCAATAACCAACTGCCGGCTGTCAGATTCTGACTGGAATTATCCTTCCCGATTTCCAAATACCAGAAAGCTCAGACACGTGGAACTGAGGCACATCAAACTGACCAGTTTCAGTCCAGAGCCCCTCAAAATTCTGCTGGAGACTGTTGTAGCCACCCTGAAGAGCCTGGAGTTGGAATCTTGCAGGATCACTGACTCCCAGCTCAAGGCCCTGCTGCCTGTCCTGAGCCGCTGCTCCCAGCTCAGGGTTTTGAACTTCCATGGGAACCACATCTCCATGTCAGCCTTAAGGGACCTGCTGCTTCACACTGCCATGCTGAGCCAGTTGAGCAGAGAGCTATACCCTGCCCCTCTGGAGAGCTATGATGCCCATGGTGACATCCACCCTGGGAGATGTTCCCAACTCTGTGCCGAGCTCACAGCAATAGTGAGGGACTTTAGGCAGCCAAAGGTCCTTGTGTTCTGTGCTGTCCCATGTACTCAATGTGGCAGCATGTTCCTCTACAACAAGGGCCTCTTTTAGTGTTCCTGTCCAACAGCTACCTAGTTGCCTGTGTTTTAAAAGCATACTTCTAGGCAATTGGAGCTATACCCAGGATGTAAGGTCATCTTAGAGGGAACTCAGAACTCACCATTTAAGACACTGCCTGAAGTGTGGATGGGAAAGGAAAGTGCAGCAGGGGGCTCCATTGGAAGGAAGCCCCCTGAGGATGGGACCTTCAGGACATGTGTCTTCATAGAGACATACATAGGGACCTGGATTTCTAGAATGGGATTCAGGCTTGATGGGAACAGGAAGAAGCTATTGTGTTTCATGGATGGTCCATAAATAGTGAGAAATGAAGGGAATTTCAAGGTTAGTCTTCTGATGTTCTCTGTGATGGATTTACCTGGCTTTCTGATGAAACCTTGGGATTCTCCAGGAGAAAGATGGCCCTGGGTACTTGGTGAACAATGAGGTTCCCTGTCTCTGGATGTGCTGGGCAAAAATATCTGTGCATACGACAGGCCCCAATGGCCAGCTCCCAGTGCCTCCAGGAGGTGTCCATGCAGTACTTTGATCAGAGCCTCTGGGTCTCACCAAACATTGCCTATCATGCACCTAGGTAGTCTGTCCTCAAACTATTGGTGCCCATTGAAGGTACCCAAATTCTCTTTCAGCAAAATAGTAGAATCATATAGGTAGAAAACACTTGCAAATATTTCAAAATGAAACTGAATAAATTACAAGCTCTGGTGGGGCGGGGGTTGCACATAACTGACAGACCTTCCCCTAACACTTCCCTCCACTGAGGACTGGGCTAATGGGCTTAGGCAGCGACCTTAGCCTTAGCTTCCCATCCAAGGATGAGAACGAGGTCCACTCAGTCTTCATTTGAGGTGTTCTAAAGCCGCCTGTGAACATGTTTTAATTATGGCTTGAATAACTCTCCATACATAGTGAACTGGAACCCACTTGAATGTATAAGCAGACTGCAGCTCACTCTTAGAACTGGTAGCAGAGTCTGGGCCATGCACATCAGCTCATCTGTCTCCCAAACAGTGAACTATGTGCCTCACCCCCCTCTTCATGGAAGTTCCTTTTCTGTGGCTCTAAGTCTAACTGCACACGTGGCAGGAGGAAGGTTCTGAGCAGCATTTGTTCTGCACTGCTGCTGGACTCTAGGTTCAAATAAAGCCAGAGATATGCAAAATGAAATCTGTCATTATTTGTTGTTTTAAGAGTTATCATGACTAAAAAGGGATTTAAAGATATTCTGGTGTCTCCAGACCCCTTGAACACTGGAAGGGTTGTGAGGGCTCTTAGTCTTCCCAGAGCCTGAGGGATAAAGCACTCACCTCTCTTTGAGCTGCTCATTTTTGACTCTAGGTTCATTTGTGCTGTGAGACAGCACACAAATGTAGGATGTCATGACAAGCAGGACCGGGTGTGTAAGGGTGGCTGGGTCAGGCAGATGGGACTGGGTTCCACTCCTTGTGTGGTAGTCCAGCCAAAGTGACTCCATATTGTTTTGTGACTCCATCTTATAAAACAACCATGCGAAGTAGAAGGGTCATGACAAGGGCAAGATGTTCTTTTCCTTTGGCTATAGAAACCTTTAAGAACATGGAATTACCTAATGGGCCATTGTTTCTGTAACCAGGGAACAGGACTCTGTTTCTGTAACTGGGGTGACTGGGCTAATTGTGATTGGCTGTGCATCCCTCCAGCTGACTGCACTTTCCCGCTTCTGTAACTTGGCTTCCTTGCATTGGCTGGACCCCCAAACACCCCTTTTGTGGTTTTCAGGCTTATAAGGAACAACCTCGCAATTGTTTGGGGCTGATCAGGGGAATAGCTTTATGTTGTGGTTAAGTCACCATCTGTGTGCTTCAATAAAGGCTTGATTCAATTATATGTGAGTGGTTTAGAAATCAATCTGTGAAACCCCAGGAGGATGCTTTAACTATAACACTTGGAGCGGCTACTGAAAGATGCGGAGCCCTTTGTGCATCTGCATCAAAACAGTGTAGAACCCCTTCTGGAACACTGGCCAATTTCACCTGTACAGTCTAAGAACCCAGAACCCATGCTTTTCTAGAGAAATGAGTGAACTTCATCAAAGCTAATTCAGGGAGCTGGGGAATCACTCAGTGGTAGAGCACTTGCTAGCATGTGGAAGGACCTGGGTTCCATCCAAAGCATCACAGAAATAAGTAAACAAATAAATAAGTCCAAAAATGATGTGACCATATTGGGAAGGTTAATTGGAATAGAGCTATCTACCTGGTTGAAATATTCAAAAAGAAAGAATCAGAACCCACATGAAAACAATGGAATGCATTCTTTAATTGGTATGCACAGGTATGTAAAATTGATGTCCTCAAAGATTATTTTCCAAAAACAACTGCAAAAGCCAGCTTGGTGGTGCTCAGCTCTAGTCCCAGCAGCCCAAGAGGCTGAGGCAGGAGGGTGGTAAGTTCAAAGCCAGCCTCATCAATTTAGTGAAGTTGTAAGCAAGTTTGTGAGACCCTGTCTCAAAATCCCCCCGTAGGGTGTGGCTCAGTGGAAAAGCACCCTTGGGTGCAATGCCTGGTCCCCAAGTCAATAACAAGGATGAAAAGCTGGTTTGAGTGGCACATGTCTGGAATCAAGCTACTTGTGAAGTTTAATTAACTCATATCTTCTCCCAATTTTACTAATCGGGAGCATAGTCCATGCTTGACATGGACTTGACAGGGACTTCCAGTCCCTTGACATGCAGTACTGGTCCATTTATTTGAGATTTTTTCCTAATGTAGGTATTTCTTGCTGGAAACTTCCCACTTAGAATTACTTTTGTTGTGTCCACAGGTTTGAATATTTCCTGTGGCCCTGTTCATTGGTCTGCAGGCATTTTACACTTTTATTTTGATTTCTTCAATGACCCATTGTTGTTGGGGAGCAAGATGAAGAATCCCCATGCTTTGTAACTGCCTGGGGGTTCCTCCTGCTATGGACCTAAACTATGCACATTCTCCTCTGTGCTTTAAATCACCTCAACCTTCCTTATGTCACTGCGTACAATGGGAACATTACATAGTGGTTTACAATGTGCTGCTTAGAGGATAATGACAAGAAAAAGTCTCTACACATTCAGCCCAGAAGCACTTATTTTCAACCATGTTCAATGCAAGGCTGATTGAGTTCAAGGATGCAGACCCTACAGCCTCAGAGCCCAGACAAGAGAGGCAATAGCACAGAAGTGTGAGAAGAGGCACAAGCAAACAGAGACATCAGTTACAGAAGATGATAAAGAACCAGGAAGAGCAGACTCAAGAATTAGAAGCACAGTAGCTCTGCCATCTGCTTGGTGTCTGCATAGAGAGACCTACACCCCTGGGGCCACTAAGGGCATTTCTGTGAAATAAGTTAGTAACAATGAAGCTGGTAAAGTTCATTCAGTGCCTAGGTTTCAGTTGTCTCTATTAATTTTTCAATGGGTCAGTCCAATGTTTCATCTTACCTCAATGCAATAAGCTTCAGAAATCAGGGGACTGAATAATAGAAGAGGCCTAATTACCTATCACACTCTATAATTAAACTATTCTTTCATTTAGGTTGTATTTATTGAATGAAAAGAAAGAAAGGGGAAAAAAAGGCTGGAAATGTGGCTCAGAAGTTCACTGTCCCTGGGTTAATCACCTGGTACCAAAAAAAAAAAAAAAGAAAAGAAAAAGTGATTAGTGGTAATTTGTTCTTTTACTGAACACAATTTGTGGGGGGTTAAAAAATGTGGATTGTAGTGGACACGGTGGCACACACCCTAAGTCCACCAACTCAGGAGCTGAGCAGGAGGATTGCAAGTTCAAGGAGAGTCTGGGCAAGTTAGTGAGACACTGTCTGAAAATAAAACATGAAAGGGGCAGGGGATGTGGCTCAGTGGTCCAACAACCCTGCATCCAACCCCTAGTTCCTCCAAAATGTGGGGTTTGGGGATGTGGTTAAGTGCAGAACAGGGGTTCCCTTGATGCTTTGACTATATCCCTTGTGGCTTTGAAACTTACATTTTTTCCCCAAATCTCCTCCCTAACCTTCTCCTCCCTGATCTTCTTTTCCCTGATCTCCTTCCTGGTTTCTCTGTAATCTCATTTTCTATGAATCATCTCTTTAAAAACAACCTGTTTCTGCTGATGGGCAGAATAACAGTCTTTAGGACAGGTCCCCTGGGTTCCTCCTTTGTGAGCAAAGTAATAAACATTCTTTTTCCTTTTTTCTCAGAACTGTATACTTGTTACTGGATTGTTATCATAGAAAAGGACAGAGCTTTGGGCCTCCAGTGGTGTAGTGCCCCTGTGTTCAATCTTTGGTATGAAAAATAAATAAATTAGCAAGAAAGCAGGATGAGCATACCTATCCCTAGGCCACTGGCCAGTGGTCCTTTCATAGTCCCCATGCTTGTTTCCTGGTTTTAAATAGTTTCAAACACTGTCCTACAACCATACACACTCCAAACTATTGCCATCAGTTTAAGACAACTCAAGGAAACCAACACTGGTTGTGTCCTTGCTGAGGATGTCTATCAGCCGTGAACTCCTGTGTACTTATAGGTGAAGCTAATAGTGAAAATTTTCCATCAAAATGACACCATTCCAACACAACAGAACTGGCAAGGTGCTAGGAAGCAGGCATCCTGAACCACAACTGCCTGCTAACTGGAGCCATCACAAAAGACTCACAGAACCACAGCTTTATGCAAAATCTTAGGGTCTCACTAAGTTGCTCAGACTGGCTTTGAACTTGCAATCCTCCTGCCTCTGCCTCCCGAGCATTTGAGATTTTAGACATGCACCACTGAGTCCCGCTCATAATTATTATTATTTTTTTTTCTGAGGAGAAACCCGCACAGCAGGTCCCTGTCATCCTGGACCAAGGCCACCCTTGTTACTGAATCCTTGCAGCCAATGATAATGGTTTCAAAGCACTTTATGTGGCCTTTGAAACCCTGTTTTCCTTTGCCTCCTGGAGGGGCCTGACTTTACTTGGGGTCCTGCATTTTCTGT